CCCTTTTTTACATTCATTCTTTCTCACTCAACATTCGTTTACTAACCAACTTACCATGACTTTTCGTATCCTTTTCATTTCTCTCATCTCTTCTATGCTATGCGTAGTTGCAGACTCTTCTAGTCCTTGCACGTCTGGTACATGTACATACCTGTCAGGAGATGGTTCAACCACGGCATACTCTGTTCTTGCTATCGTAGGTCACTGGTTATCGACAATATACGATTTCTCTAATATGCTATAAAATAGAATACCGAAAAACCCTCCTCTCTTTCCGATATCACAACAGCCGCAGGGTGGGATATCATCGAATGTGACCCTAATTCAATTGGTCCGCAAGATATTCGTCTTGTCTGTACAGAAAGAGACAGAGGTTGTAATCAACTCTTCGAAGACGGTGAAGAAAATACAATCGTGCGCCTCCCAGACAATGTAAGTGTCTTGTACGGGTGTTTTGCTTGTGAGTTGGCTCATTTATTCGGACTAGTGCGCTGGTGGACCCTTTGCACGAGTCGTTAAATCGTGGATCCCCGAAGACCAATCACTTCCCGCCCGACTCCTTAAACGACAACTGGACTCTCCAGTCCGTGCACTGACCCTCGACTTTGACTTTGCCCAAATTCCTGAGTCGTAAGTTTCGCTGCGAGTTTACTCGGTTATAGGTTTAAAATTCTGTTCTAGAAATGGAAAAGTCTGGATCACAGCATCTGCTACGAATTCTCAAGCTCAACGAAACGCATTGACACAATCTGCGGCCAAACGATCCCTCCAGCCCCTTCGTCACGCTAGCCGTGCCGGGCAGGCAAATGCTGTTGTTCGAACATTTGTGGGCGCATCTAAGAGAGTCTCTCATGAAACTAGGCGCCGTCGGGGTTTCTTTGATTTCGTCGACTCTGCCGTCGGCACCGTTTCTGATGCGGCAAAGGGTGCTATCGACCGCGTTGGCGATGTGGCAAATCAAGTCGGAGAAACTGTTGGTAATGTAGCAGATCAGGCTGTCGATACCATCGGTGATGTGGCCAATCAAGTTGGAGACAAGCTGAATGATGTGGGCAATGCCATCGTCGACGGAGCGCAAGATACCGCGAACGCTGTTCAGGATGGTATTTCCAATGTTGGAGACTCGATCGGAGAAATCATCGACGACGCAACTGGTGCTGTCGCTGCCTTCGTGCACGCCGTAAGTCTCGTCATTGGATTCATTTCACAGTTTAACAAGCAAATTTCCAGGTGGACGGCGCAAATGACTTCAACGAGACTATTAGCAAGAATTTACGCGTCCTCGATATCCATGAGACCTTCCCAGTTTTCAGTGCCTCCCTCAACTGCCCTGCCCAAGGAGCTATTCCCGCCTTTGATACATCTATATCCGTGACAGCGGCCGTGAAGGCTCAAGTTGATGCAGAAGTCGGATTCATCGTTGTTGGTAGCATTGTTCCCCCTAGAGTCGATGATGTAGCCTTTACTGCGGGTAAGTCTTAAAGATT